ATCATGATTATAATCATGATCATAACGTATCCACGTGATGTTCGAAATTTTTTTGGGTGGCGATTTTACCCCGGTTACCGAAGTCGAATTGGTCAATACAGTCAAATCGGTCCGTGTAACCCAATCTAACTACAATATGCGCCAATCAGATTATTTGCACTAATTAAACAATCGAATTTTAAAGTTTATACTAAAATTTTACGTAAAATTTTTTTTTCATAGAGTCGCGACGATCTTTCATGGTCCTACTGAGGTAGCTATGCATTTGTATGCAAACACGTTACTAAATACTTAATATTAAGTTCGCTGATTCTCTAATTCTTGAAACATTATGTAATTTACTGTTCACCTTTCTAAATCATGTAACTAGACACGGCAAAAACTAAAAGCATTACAAGATTTGGACAAAGCAATTAATCAAGAACCAATGTATGGCAAGAGAAAGCTAAGAACCAAAATTAACAGCAAAACTAGCAAATTCTTTTATTACAGTAAATTTATAAAATATTTATTTTCTACTGTTAGGAACAGTAGAATTATCTTCAACACACTGCTGAAGAGCACGAACAAACGACGGTTGTAATAAATCATTTGCGAAAAGAAATTTAAGTTCAATTTTTGAATCTTTATGTTCAGCTGGATGACAATTGTGCAGATCAGTAGTGTTAGAAGTGACCGCGCCTAATTCTTCGATTTCCTCATTATCGTTACCATCGTCAACTTTGACCCATTCTCTAATAACAGATTCTTCGTCTTCATCGTTGGCACGATCATCATCATCACTATTGTAATTATCATCACTATTGTAATTATCGTAAGTATTATAATTAGGCATTTCATCATCATGCACAATTTCTCTTTGACCAAGTATGTTGGAATCATTTAATTCACTACTTGATCCAATGCTCGATTCATTTGTTGGAATTGATTCAATGTTCGATTTATTTGCTAAATTTGGATCAACATTCGCTAGACTTGATTCAACATTCGATTTACTGGCTGAACTTAGTTCAATGTTCGATTTATTAGCTGGACTAGTGAAATGATTGATGGTGATAGTTTTGCAAATTTTTTCGGAATTTTCCAAGCGCTCTTCCCATGCCATTTCAGCTGCAACTTGTGTCATCCTGAAGATTGTTTGTAACTATGACAAGATAAGTTTATTAAGTATAAATTTTCAAATTTTAAACACAACTTTAATTATTACTTACTTTGAGACGATTGCGTTTTGGACTTTGAAACCATCCCATTCGGGAAAAAAGATGCTCGCATGGTGCCGAATTAACTTTTATACTATACAACCTGAAGGCGACTTTACCAATTTCTTTTTGATCAATTGCCGCAAATTCCCAATATCGCAATAATGCAAGCCCATCTACATTCTTTGTTGCGGTATCTGTTGCTAAGATAGCTTCAACGGTATTTTCGAAGCGTTTATCACTAAATATACCACGCTTCATGTAATATTCAGTTAATTCTAGTGTTACACATCGTGGCTTTACATCAAACCATACTTCATGGTAATATTTGATCCAATTCGTTATTCGCTTAAGAGAAAAAAAATTAACATTACTCAAAGCCTGAACACGATATTGCGGATAAAATATAATTGCTAAGAAAAGAAGAGGTTGTTCCTAATTAGCCCATCTTTTTCAAGTTTCTGTTGCATTTGATGACCGAATCCAACTAAGTCATTTTCATATTGTTGTGCTATATAACCGAAAGCATAGGCAACATCAAAAAGATTGGCTGCATCACGTTGAAGATAGTTCAGGATGCTGACAAAGGGCATAATATGTTTTACTAATTCGTCAAGGCATGTTCAAAAATGGTTACTGTTAATAGCAGCTCGAGATTTATCTGATAACTTAGAAGAGTTCAGATATAATATGATTGTAAAGCACGTTTACTTCTTAAAAGCATTGCAAAACAATAATAATATGAGTTCCAATGAGTAGTTACTGGAAGCACAAAGCTATAAATTGCCTTGTAAATCCTTTGCTGCTCATTACGAAGTAACGATATTGCCTTTGAATGCCATTGATCAGTGAAATATGATGCAATTCCAATTGCCTGCTTTAATGTTTCCTTATATTCAGATGAAATTTTGAAAATATCACCAACGCACAGGTTTGCCTGATGCGCGAAACATGGCAAAAATATGATATCACGCCTTTGCAATCGTATTTTGCATCTGGTAAGGAAATATGTATATTATTTCGCAGTACAAGATTTTTCTAATTTTATTTTATTTTTTTCATTTTATATAGGGTACGTATCATTTTATAGATGTCTTATTTAATAAGCAATTAATTCATAAACAATACGACCAGAGCGGCCACTTATTTTACAGGTCAGATGGGTTCTTCACCTGCAGCATTATTGCAAACGAATTAGTATTGGATCTATAGTGCTGTTGCTATGAAATTTTGACCCTGCATTGCATATTATGCATATTGAATATTGGTGGTGCCACCTACATGACCCATAAAATCAGTGGCCGCCCTGGTCGTATCTTCATAAACAAGCTTGTTTTAAAGACAATTAATTTATAAGCAGTTCATTTCATAGACAGTTCATTTTATAGGAAATTTATTTTATATACCTAAAACAGACTAGTAGATTGAGTTATTTTCTGTCAAAGATTGTCTATAAAATAAACCGTCCATAAAATAAACTGTTTATGAAATGAACTGTTTGTGAATTAATTGTCTTTAAAATAATAATTTTTGGTAAAGTGATATGTATCCTTTTATATATACGTACCATGCAGAGGCATATGCTGAAGCACTATCCGTGACCACTGCTGCCACATTGAGGTTCTGATTACTAGCACGCTTCAAAAAAGTATTAATTATATTTAATACATCAGGGGTTTTTTGTTTTTGACCACTAATATCCTCAGCACCCCATATATGTAACTGATTTGTTGCAGAAAGAATAACGGCACCTAAAATTTCCTAGCAATTCACATTTTTCTAGCTATCAAACATAATTGTAATTGGCTCTTGTGATTCAGAAAGTTTAGAAATTTTAATTCTTTCTAATTCTTCCGCATGTTCAATAAGAATTTTACTGCTTAGCATTTGACGGCTTAGAATTTTAACAGTCGGGTTAAAAAAATCAACTAATTTACGGAGTGTACTACTTTCAACAAATCGAAGCGAGAGCCCATTCTGAACCACTAATCGTAGGAGGAGAAGATTAAATTCATTCTTTTGATTAGTTGATAATGGACGAACAACATATATATCAAGTGTAGTGATTTTTTTTTTAGTTTTCGATTTTCTTGTTTCATTTACATAAGATGTGCTTGAGGTATCAGATATTTGTATATCGGTAAGCATCGAATCTGAAGCTCTAGAGGTTGATGAAACAACAGACATTGCCATAGTATTTCACTCTCTTGCTTGTCGCAATGCCTTAACGGCATTACGTGCCATATTTTCATCAGGGTCTGCATACATCATTACTTCTTGGTCCTCGTCAAGCCAAAATTCACGCCAGTATTGACAATGTTTCTAGTGTCATTGTACACGATCCTACCTATTAATGAATCCATATTTTTGATATACTTTCCACAATTTTAGGCCTTCATTTTTTCCCTTTTCGAATATTTGTTCATTATTTTCACAAGCTATGCAAATAGCCCGCTTAGTTGATTGGTCTGGGCTAATGTATCTTGAATATGAACATATTTTGTTAACTTATGACTGTGACTTTGAGTTTTTTTTTTTTTTTTTTTTGATACTAACATTCATTGTTTATATAGCTTTTATATAAATTGGTTTAACAGATTCGTATGAAACCAGTTTAGTTCAAGAGTTAATCGGTATTAGGTTGATATTAAAACTTGGTGTTTGTAAGTTCTGAATACTAAGTATATTCTTGTTATCCTTGGAATATTCTCATGAATCATTACCAAAACATCGAAGCTGCATATAACAATAACACTGTATACGGGTATGTGTTCACTTTTTTACAAAGAAAAATACAAACAAGAAACATATACTTAAATCGACGACCTTGTACTAAATTGAGGCAATTATTTTTTTTAATACAATATTGAAATTCTAACATTCTTCGGGACTTAGTTATTCATAATGATAACGATATGACAAGACATAAACCTCTTAGTTACGGGCTGACGCACATTCGTTCGCATGAATGATCAGCAATTTATAGAAAATTTCATCTGCTACAAAGATAATCATTATTGCTCAATCATACGCATAATTTTACCCATCTTTATTTAGGAATCAATACTATTATTTCTATAGAGAATAATTGAAAATCACTTGCATTCGTATATTCTATTTTATCATAATGCCATTGAATGTTTCAGTGCGGTGGACTATTTTGCAGAGGTACAACCTTTATTTTAACATAAATTTTCACGTTTATCAGAAAATTGGTGTAAATTAACATCCTTTTTTGTATTAAGGATTCATTTTTTAGGCCTGTATCACTTGCGCAAATAGAGCTTAACATTATGGACAGGAATTTTCTAATTAGGTTGTGCAAATTAATTCCCAGGGTAACTAATTAATACAGTAATACAGCTGCAAGAATGTAACATTTTACTGATAATCCAGCTACGAAAGAATGTTTATATTTAATCGAGAAATAATAAGTAACCTTGGGAATTTAGAGCAAGCCCAAATTCTTTGCAATTAATAGTTGTACTATCTAGGGAATTAGCCAGGGCAACCACCAAAAATTTGAACCCATTTGATATAAACCGTTGCCAAAATCTATTATATAGATAGATTTATACTGTTAATTTTTGGTGACATATTTCATATTGGGTTGCTATCAATAGAAATCAAGCAGATTTATCAGCTTGATTTCTATTTGTGGCAGTTCATATTGAAAGGCTGTTTGGCTAGATAGGTGATAAATTAGTGTGCAACCAAAATTTAGTAGATAGGGCAAAACTTAGGATTGGAATATGCTGCTATTAAGCAATGATATAGCCAACTATATACGTAGGCAACTTTAACACCTAAGCTTTTGCTTTTTATTAAAATTTTAGGCATTTGGGGATTCCAGCCTGTTCTGCCCTAAATTTTGGTCGAGTTGCAAGAATAGTAATGCTATTATGTTGAAAAAATTTGTTTTTAAGTATAATTAATAAAGATTTAAGCTTTGCATTTGCTAGTAAAATAATTTCTTTTATAATGAATGCTTTGTTTTATTTGTATGTATTTAAATTTAATAAAGCTTGGATTTAAAATAATTTTTATTCAAAGCGTACTGGTACCAAAAATTATATTGTTACATGGACCGATTTGACCAATTTGACCATGGTCAAATCGGTCAAAATTGGTCCAATTGGTCTGTGTAACTATACCTTTTGACCAATTTGACCAAACCGATTGGACCAATAACCAATTGACCAATGACCAGCCAATTTACAGCCGACCATTAGATTTAACAACACTGATTACAATGCAATTAGTATTCCTTACTATAATAAAAATTTTACTATCTATATTTTTTCCCTTTTACTTACCAGTTATGTTTTTTCTCTTTACAACAAAAACCTTTAAATTTGATTTGATTTGATTTGAAAATATTTATAAATAGCTAAAAGTTGAAGAGTTAAGTTTCAGAAGTTATTTACTTAAAACTTTATTAATACAATCGCCAATTTGGTTTTATGAAACTAGAACTATTTTGATTAGAAGAACATTTTTTATTTAATATACAGAATTGATTAGCTTAATAAAATTTTGTAAAAATAAAAATATTTATAAACAGCTAAAATTTAAAGAATTAGAGTTTCAGAAGCTATTTTCTCAAAATTGCATTAATACAATTGCTAATTTGGTTTTATGAAACTAGAGCTATTTTGATTAGGAAAACATTTTTATTTAATATACAAAATTAATTAGCTTAATAAAATTTTGTAAAAAACGAAGATATTTATAAATGGCTAAAATTTAAAGAGCTATAATTTTAGAGGCTATTTTCTCAAAATTTTATTAAAACAATTGCTAATTTGGTTTTATGAAACTAGGGCTATTTTGATTAAAAGAATATATTTTATTTAATTTGCAAAATTGATTAGTTTAATAAAATTTTAAGAAATTTGAAGATATTCATAAACAGCTAAAATTTAAA